CGATATGTATACTAACTTAAGTTCGCCGCGCAACAGTCTTGCTTGCCAACTCATCAAAACATATAAACATTGTTTATTAAATAATTGTGGTCAAGTTGTCATTCCTGTCCGAGCCTGTGTATATATATATATATATATATATATATATATATATATATATATATATATATATATATATATATATATATATATATATATATATGTATAATATATATATATTAATATATATATATATATATATATATATATATATATATATAAGTATATATAAGTATGATATATATTATATATATACACACACATATATATATAATATATATAATATATATATATATATATATATATATTATATATATATATATTATATATATATATATATATATATATATATTATATATTTATATGTACACCAACTTCATATCTCAGCGCAGCAGCCTTGCTTGTCAAGAATCATATTTCGGAGTTAAAGAGTTGAGAGAGGGTTGTACCACGATTTACAACAAAAAAGAAAAAAAAAGAAAAACAAAAAAAAAAACAAAAAAAAATGAGTAGCCTCCTTGATTGTAGTGGCCACCTCGGGCCTTTGGGAGGTGAATAAAAAAAATATATATAATACATACATACATATATATATATATACATACATACATACATACATATATATATATATATATATATATATATATATATATATATAATATATATATATATATATATATATATAATATATATATATATATATATATTTATATATATTTTATATATATATATATATATTAGGGTGTCCCAAAAAACAAAATTTTTGAAAATAATATGCTCTTACCCCCTAAATGTGTTCTATCTAATGCAAAAACACTAGGTTTAAATTTTTTTTGAATAAAATATATTTTAAGGAGTCCCTCAAGACCATCGAATATTTAATGGGCTTCTAATATTTTCGAAAAAAAAGTTTTTTAAAAATATGTCAACCTGGTACTTAAATAGAGCGAAATTACATAAAATTTTAAAAATAATACTCATTTTTAAACAAAACTTTTATTTTCGTTTTTATTACATAAAAAATTGTGTTTTTTGAGAAAAAATGAAAAAAATGCATTTCTAATGTTTTTTTTATGATAATTTTAATAAGTTAAAATAATTTAGAAACATATTATTTTTAAAATTTTATGTAATTTCGCTTTATTTGAGTACCAGGTTGACATATTTTTAAAAAACTTTTTTTTTCGAAAATATTAGGGGCCCATTAAATATTCGATGGTCTTGAGGGACTCCTTAAAATATATTTTATTCAAAAAAAATTTAAACCTTGTGTTTTTGCATTAGATAGAACACATTTAGGGGGTAAGAGCATATTATTTTCAAAAATTTTGTTTTTTTGGGACACCCTAATATATATATATATATATATATATATATTATATATATATATATATATATATATATATTGTAATTATTAGAGTTCGCAGGCAGAGAAAAAATAAAGGCAGTATGATTTGGTTTTTCATTTTATATTTAGTTCATATGATTCAATAGAGTTCTTCGTTTTATGTTTAATTTACATTTAGTTATGGTTTATATCTATCATTCCTGCAAGCCACTGGTAGCGGCTTTAGAGTATGCTTTACAATTTAACTTGTTTTGTACATAAATTCCTAATCTAGATACATAGAATTTGTTTGTTTTGAAGGTTTCATTAATTCTTTACATAAATAAGAAAAATAAGAGCTATATTGTATAATTATAAAAAAGTTATCACAAAGCTAAAAAATCTTGAATCATCATGAAAAAACTTTAAATTTAGTTAATAAATAAAGCAGCATTAACATTTATTCGTTATTCAAAAAAATTAATGTTATTCAAAAAAATGTGCGATTGCAACAAAGAATTTTTTTTTGGCTTGTAGCGAACAATTTAATGCCTCTCTTTGTTTTTATATTTATTTTATAATTGCTTCTTGTATATTTTAGTACAACCATTTGTTATAACTTTCATTTAGTTTGATTTGAACGGCTATTGGTAAAATTTATCACTGTTTAATGATGCATGTTAAAAACTTTATTATTATCAAATTTTTATTAATTGTCAATGTTATGCTATTTAAACGTTATTCAAAAAAGTGTGCGGTTGCTACAAAGAATTTTTTTTGGCTCGTAGCGAACAATTTAATGCCATTCTTTGCTTTTATATTTGTATTATAACTATTTCTTGTATATTTTAGTAAAAACATTTGTTATAACTTTTATTTAGTTTGATTTGAACGGCTATTAGTAAAATAAGTCGTTTAGTATTTATTTTCTACTTAGTACAGTATATATGTTTTATTCAAGTCTCTTGTTTTTTTTTTCAGTTTATACTTTAAATTAATTTATACGCTTTTGTAAAATTATTCTTTTAGTATCTAGATTATATTTACTTTAAACCACTACGGTTACTGTAAATATTCGTTATATATTATATTTTGATTTTTATAAATTTAATAAATTTAATTTTTTAATTGCATCATAAACTTTTTTTGGGATTCAGTAAAAAGTTTTACAATTAACATGATTTGGTGATTTTGGCAAAAAAATAATATGACATCATGGAAAAAGAAAAAATTTATACAATGATGTCATATGCAGAAACTGCTATGGAATAAATTACCAAGCCTGCAGATTGCGGCTAACATTATCCAGACTCTGAGAACCAAAAAAAATGGAGACGGTGAACTTTGACTAAAACATGATTTAAATTTAATAGTGTGCATTCATTATATAGTTTTAATCAAAAAAATTGAGCCCAAATTTTTTTTAAACATTTTCTTCAACTTTCACAACTTGTCTTGGCAGTTGGGGTTCCCTTTAATGATCACACTCTTCCTGTAATTTAATTAAACATGTTAGAGAGCCTCATCACTCATCATTAGTAACTACAATAAGTAAAATCATTCTTGCTTCTGTTGCTTTAAATAGATATTGTTATTGATATAAATTCATTAACTAACTTCATTTAGAGTATGTACACTTATTTTTTGCAAATATATTTTATGAAAAAATCCAGTATTATTTTATTAAATTGAAAAATTAAGGGTATCAATATAACCTGTATTTTTCAATTTAATAAAATACTACCTACCCAATAATATACCCCACACTGCTTTTTTTTATGTTTTCAGTTATGCATAATTTTATGTCAGACCATTCAGCAGGTATAAATGAAACTGTTTAAAACAAATTAAAAAACAAACTTTCTATTTGTTTTGATCTTTTTTTCTGAAAATTTAAAATGTTCAAAAATCAAGGGGGTCTTGAACTTATTTTTTAAGTTGTAAACTAATCGCATAAGCACAATTAAATTTAGAGAAATCAGTCTCAGTAAATTGCATCAATTGTCTGATTTAATTAAACTTTTTTTAAAGTAAACAAATTATTAGAATATTCATATTAAAACAAAATAATATAGAATAGAAAATATTAAACAAAATTATGTCTTACGATGAGTCTGTAAAATGCAAGATTTCATTCGGAAAACAGGAGATTGATCTGTTACTTTTGTTTCATTATAGACATAAAAATATCTTTATTTAAGAAAATAGAACAAAAAACAAAACATGAATGTCAAATACATGTTTTTTTTTTTTTCTTGAAGATATTTCTTTATAAAAATTCTATTTAAGAATAGTCATTGATTCATCTGATCAAAGACTTTGTTGATCCTTTTTAGCTGGTTTTGGAATCAGTTTGAACTTAAATTCTCACACCTGTGAAGTATGTGGAAGCTGAAAAACAAATTTTTCTTTAAAATATAAATGTAAAGCTATAACTAAGTCATGGAGACTTCCTGGATAATTACCAAGTTGAAAAGTTACATAGACAGAGTTACTTCTTGTAAGCTAAAAGAAGAATTTTTGGTGATTAAAAGTATAAAACTTGAGACAGGAGGTATTGCTTTTCCGGTTAAAAAAATAAAAAAATATAAAGAAAAACAATGTTAGATGATCTGAAATTTCATAAAGAATAGCTATGCTGAAGTTACAAACAGATCGCACTATTCGAATAGGATGTACAATTTGAAAAATGTGAAAAGATCAACTAAAGAACAATAAAGACTTTTTTAAACAAGATATTCTGTAAATGTACTGACGCCATCTTTGTTAATAACAAGCTTGTTCATTATAATTTTTATAATTATGTTGTACACTTTGTTATTGATGGAGGACAGAGATCTCTAAAGAGTGTCATGAGCAAGCTTCAATTAAATCAAACAAAAAATATTAATTGGTTAACTTTTGTTTAATTATTTTAATTATGAGGTAGTGGTGTAGTGGTAGAGCGCTTGCTTCATAAACGAGTGGTTCCGAGTTCGATCCCCACCACGTCCCTGGTAGTACCGCGCTCAACTCGTTTCTCCGCGCAGCGGCCTTGTTCGTCAAGGTTCGTGTTTCGGAGTTATAGAGTTGAGAGAGGGTTATAGCCACAAAATAAGTAGCCTCCTCGTCTGTAGTGGCCGTCTCGGCCTTGAGGAGGTGAATTAAAATATCTTTTAAGTAACATTTCTGCATGAGCCTATGTTTCAGAATTAAACAGTTTAAAGAATTTGTGTAGTTTTACTCAGAAAACTTGACAAAGCATACAAATATTTAACTTGGTGTCTGATAAAAAAAACTGAATCAAATTAAAGAGAGCCTAAGGGTAAGAAAATACTCTTATATTTCCATACTTAATTAGTTACTTAGATCAGCTTTAGTAAACTAGAATACAGTGTATTTACACTTTTTTTAACTATTTAACTCTTAATTAAAACTAATTAAAGTTTTTGATATTTCCTAACTGATATTTTGAATCAATTTAAAATAAAAAAATTTGCAAATGAAATTTAACTTTAATTTTACGTTGTGTTAAAGAAACTTGTTACATAAAGAATAAGAAAGGATACATAAACAAAAAAATTGTAATAAGAAGAAAAAACAAATTTTAATAGAAAAATCTGTTTTTTATTAAATATAACTAAATAATAATTACTTTTAAATTCATCTACTTTTCTTATTAAATCCATTCTTTTCATATCCTTTAAAGCTGTTATTAACTCGTCAAGTGTTGGGTTGAAACTTTTTTGCAACCATTTAGTTATCACTGAATACGCTTTCTCATCACTTTTACTAATATCTTTATCAATCATGTCTAAATAACTTTCTTCAATATTTAACCAACGACCAAGAGTTTTCCAATCTACTCCAACACTATCACTAAACTTTAATATAAAAGCTTGGCTAAAAACAGTGGTTTCATCTTTTTTGAGATGTGTAAAAAGATCCATTTTGATATTTCTACAAAAAAATAAAAGATTTATGATACCAGGATATATACAATATACATACAAATATATGTATGTATATATATATATATATATATATATATATATATATATATATATATATATATATATATATATAATATATATATATATAATATATATATATATATATATATATATATATATATATATGTATATATATATATATATATTTATTTATATATTTATATATATATAGTATATATATATATATATATATATATATATATATATATATAATATATATATATATATATATCAAGCCTTCCCAGGAAAGGCGTGCGTTTTTTGTCTCATACGACCACAAAAACGTTTTTCAAGTTAGAGAACGTGATCATGGCCGTTTGCGCATGTTTTATTATATGCGTTGCTGAAAAATTGTTTTAAATTTAACAACTACTTAAGAAATTAAAGTGAACTTTAATTTCTTAAGTAGTTGTTTTTATTTTTGTCTATTTTTCAGTGAATATTATTATCGGCAAAAAACTTCATTAAGTGAAAGCAAAAAAAAAAAAAAAAAAAGGTTTAAGGCGTTAAAAAGGATAACTTTCCCATATTCTATGTGTTTTTTCTTTTAAAAGAAAATATGTATTGTCATCTGTTTGTAAAATATATTTGTATAATGTAACAAGTTTACATCAAAAGTTAAATTATACGATCGCGCTTATTACTTTTACAGTTCATTCTTTGTTCAAACAACATTATTAATTACAAACATTAATTAAAGTAAAAAAGCATCTAGAGAAAAAATAAAGCGGATTTTCAAATATTATTAAAATTTTCAGGAACTTTCACATATCACTTTAACAACGTTATAAAAAGTACTTTATGAAAAGTATAGCATCTTGAAAAACGTCATGTAAAAACGCGCTTTAATTCTAAAATCAACCAATAAAAAATGTTTATTGGTTAATTTTAAAACTAAGGCGCGTTTTTACGATCCCATCTCGCCTGAAAATAGCTTAAGGGACCCTTAAGGGTCCCTTAACGGTTAAGGGTAACTTAAGGGCTAAGTTTTTTAGACATAAAAAAAAAAAAAATAATAAATAATAATGCAAAAATACTCTTGTTTACTTTATTATAGTATATAGTTATTAATTCTTGAACATTAGGGTGTGTTTAGGGCTAATTCTAATAAGGGATCGGTTAGGGCAAATTCAGGGCTAGCCCTAAGTCAAATAGAATTTTCTGGAAATTCTGAAATAAAAAGAGTTAACGGAATGATTTTATAAATCCGCTATTCTTAAAGCGTGGTTAAAGTAGTTCGGAATTAAATTTGGTCTTTTAGAATTAAGTTTGTAAACTTAAGTTTATTGTCATAATTCGCTGTATAATATGATTAAAATTTCATTATTATTAGTTTCATTATTTAGTTAAAACAATCCTAATGATTGTCTTAAATTATAATAACGACAAAATATTTTATACTTACAGTTCTTAAAAAAAAATGGCTTCGAGAAATGAAAGAAGGAAACGTAGTAATAAAATGGAAACTTTCATATCGAGATTAAAAGGTCATATAATATATATATATATATATATATATATATATATATATATATATATATATATATATATATATATATATATATATATATATATATATATATATATATATATATATATATATATATATATATATTATTATATATTAGGTATCTAATATAGATAGATAGATATAGATAGATAATATAGATAGATAGATAATATAGATAGATAGATAGATAGTATCTAATATAGATAGATAGATAGATCTAATATATAGGCTATATATATATATATATATATATATATATATATATATATATATATATATATATATATATATATATATATATATATATATATATATATATATATATATATATATATATAATATTTATATATATAGGAATCTATAGATTATTACTATAAACATTATAATGTTTCATCTTGATAATCTATGTAAAGAAAATCTTTTTAAATATTTATAGTATATTGTTTTTTCAATCTCATACTATTTGCAGACTATTATTCTTGTGTACTATTTGTCTGCCACATATATTCTATGTTAAATTTTAAAATATTAAGTTTATAATTTTTTCGATTTAATACATATTTTTTTAAAAATAATTGTTATAGATGAAACTGTCAACTATTCGACACAGTTTGAAGCAGATGCAGAAGAGCAAAAATTAACAATTAACGAAGATTACTTTGATGAAAGTGCTTCTACTTTTTTTGATGATGTGATGGGAAAATTTGATTTAGTTGAGGATAGAAGCTATGAAAGTAGATAAATATTTTATTTATTATTATAAATTTATCAAATTGAAAGCATTTTTTATTCAAAGTTTACAAAATGTTACTCTTACTGAGAGTATATTACTTCTGTGTAACTCAGTTAGGGTAACATTTTGTAAACTTTGTATAAAGTTATTTTAGTTTGCATAATTTGTGACAATGTAGCGTTCTCACAAATTATGCAAACTTTGTTTAAGTTTGTCCTTATTTAAAAATGACCAACTAAACACACACATACAATTAAATTTATGTTTTTATAATTAAAATTAGTGTTTCTATCAAGTTTAATTAGTCATTAGAATGAGCCTAAATTCATAATTCAATATATTTTTTCAGGCGAAGTGCCATTGGAAGACAACAATGAAAGTAACAAGAAATCCAAGGGCGATTTCTCATCCCTTCATACAAAGTTGTTATACTTCTGTTTACTGTATAAACTCAGCAAAAGTGCAATACTCTGTTTGCTTACGATTTTAAATGAGGAAGGTGTTGATGTTCCTATTTCTGTATATCTTTTCAAAAAACCTCAAGTGGCTACGAAGGTCCAGGTCCTAAAGAATTCTCTAAGCTGCGGTGGAAACTTTGGTTATTTGTCAATTTTTGAAAATTTATCTTACTGCATTAAAAATAGTCTAGTAACATTCAAGACGCAATATGTAAATCTTAAAATTAAAGTTGGAATTGATGGTATACCAATATTCAAAAGCTCACCTGTACATATCTGGCCAATATTATTCATTATGAGAAATGTAGGTTTTAATAAACCTTTTCCCATTGCTGTTTATGCTGGGTTAAGCAAGCCTAATTTTTCTGGGTTTATTGAGAAATTGCATGAAGAGTTAGTTCTTTTTAAATCTTATGTTAATGTATCTGGCTTTTTTATTAAAATAACTAATGTTTTATTTATATGCGATGCGCCAGCAAGATCTTATTGTCAATGTGTAAAAGGTCACTCTGGATATAATGCTTGTCCATACTGCAGAATTCCAGGTGTGTATGCTACTAATAAAGTCATTTTTCCATATGGTGGTATATATCCTTCTCGTACTGACTGTGATTACAAATCGTTATCTGAATCAAACCAATTATTTTTATCTCCGCTTACAGAAGTTGCAAATTTAAATTGTGATTTTCCACCTGAATATATGCATACAGTTTGTCTAGGTGTTATGAGAAGACTTGTAGTCTCATATTTTTCAAATAAATATGGCAGATTAAACTGTCGGGTAAGTGAAAATCTGAAAGAACTCTTAGAAGAAAGAGTTAAATTGTGGCATAGCGCTTTACCATGTGAATTTCATCGGAAAATAAGATCTTTTCGTAACATGCATTATTTTAAAGCTACCGAGTTTCGAACAATTTTACTTTATACAGGTCCTCTTCTTTTTAAAGGTATCATTCCTTTAAAATACTATAATCATTTTTTGTATCTGCATTTCGCTATGTATGTGTTTATTGGAACATCACACACACACTATTATGACAATGCTACTTCTTGCATACAACATTTTCTCCATAATTTGAAAGAACTTTTTACTGAAAGTGCTTATACCTTCAATGCACATATGCTTTCACATCTACCAGAATTTGTGCAAGAACTAGGACCATTAGATAAGTTTTCTGCTTTTCCTTTTGAAAATTATTTGTATCTAATAAAGCAACGTGTAAAAACTGGAACTTATGTGTTTGAACAGTCTATTAACTCTGTTTTAACTATTAGAAGTTTATATTCCAATCAACCACAAAAAGATTTAGTTTTCTCCAATAAATATCCCAATAATACTGCTCTCGTTGTTTATAATTCAAATATCGTTCCAATTATTATAACTTCTGTTAGTGACACTTATGTTGCTTCTGGGTCCTTGTTAATATTTAAATCAGATTTGTATGATCATCCCTATCCATCTAGTTCAATTGGTATAGGTAGATATATTATGTCTAATATCGTTGTAACTGATGCAAAGATCATTAATAAATGTATTTCTTTTCCTGATGGCAATGAGTACACTGTTATACCATTTGCGAATGTTTTCAAGAGTTGACACTCAATGATTGTGTAATGAGTTCATCATTTTATTTTTATTTTAGTATTAATTCTTTTGTTTTTATGTTATTGTAAATTTTTTTTACATTGGTTACATATATGAAATACAACATACATAAAATAAAATGATTTGATTTTTTTCTTTTTTTATTATTTTTAATTAATTTTTTACTATTAAAATCAGTTTAAATGAATGAAAAAAATGTTTTAACATTAATAATGATAAAAATGTTTTAGCATTTGTGTATAATATTTGAATAAAAAATATTTTTACTTATTTGTTTAAATACTTATATTGCAATAAGATTTTTAATTTACTTATATTCAAAAAAATATAGAGACAGATTCTAACACTGAATTAACATATCATATTTGATGGAGTACACCAGTCAAAAATATGTCCTAATTTATTGTTTAACTGATAAATCAATAGCAATTGTTCATGTTGACGATGTTGTTGGATGGAATTCAGATGAATTTGAAAAACTCAAAATTTGTAGAAGAGTTGAATTAAGGGTTAAAAATGATGATAGTATGATAAAGGTAAATATGAATCGTAGTTTGCTAATATTGTTTAATAATAATAAGAATACATGCTTAATATATAATATAATATGTTTGATTAGGTTTTAGTTTTGCAGTG